ATATATATATATATATATCAATTGTATCACCGGCCGTCCTCTCTCTCTCTCTCTCCTCTCTCTTTCTCTCTGATTTCCGTAGGTTTCTTGAACCCTTAAACATCCGCAGCCGCTCGCGGGAAATGGATGCGGCCGCCACGGACTGCCTCTCTCTGGAGATCAACCTGATCTCTGCTCAGGGCCTCCAGCCGCCAGGCGGCAACCGTCGCTTGCAGGCCTACGCTGTCATCTGGATCGACTCCTCCATCAAGCTCCGCACACTGGTCGACCGCGTCGGCGGCGAGAACCCCACCTGGAACGATAAGTTCCTCTTCCGCGTCCACCCGAGCTTCCTCGCCTACGATTCCCCCTGCGCCTACTCCGTCGAGATCTACGCCGCCGGTGGATGGTACCTGCCCGACTCCCTCGTCGGATCCGTCCGCTTCCTCGTCGGCAACCTCCGCCTCCTCTCCCGCCACAGCGACCGCCCCGTCTTCGACGCCGTTGGCATCCGCCGGCCATCCGGCCGATTCCAAGGCGTCCTCAACGTCGGCGCCGCCGTCCTCGGGAGCGTCCCCGCGGTCGCCGCCCGGGCGCTCGCCATCCGCCCCGCGATCGGCTACCGCAGCCTCATGGCTGAGTGGGGTGGGCCGAAGGCCAAGAAACGCCGCCCGCTGAGGGAGCGGAACAAGGCGTCGTCGTCGTCCGCATCTTCGGTGGCGTCGTCGGACGAGGAGAGGGCGGCCGAGGACGCCGACGCGGCGTTCTGCGGGCCGTGCGTGCTGAGTTTCCCGAGGCGGCTCCATCCCGCCCGGAATCTTGATCCCATCCCGTGGGCCACCGAGAACTCAAGCAGTCAACCCTCGCCCCCATGGACGGCCGAGATATCTCGATCCTGACTCCCTTCCACCCGATCTAATACTTAAACATAGTCGATGTGTGCAGTTAATCTTCTTGTGAGAGTATCCTTCTATGAGACTCGATTGTTTTATGTTGTTTGCCAATAGCTTTAGTACTCGTTTGATGTGATAACTCAATCGAGATCTGTGTTGCCCGCAGAAAGGGACGGAGATGGCATGGATCGTCTTCTCATATCCGGCGACTGGAACAGTGCGAATATTGCATCTTTCTCACTCGGGCGGTCACCAACCAGCATCCGTTTATCATCATCGCCTGGGAAGCACCAGAAGGCAGCAGACGGAGATGTCTTCAGCACAATTAGGACAAGAGAAACGGAATCCACTGTAAAAGTAGGACGAAGGGCATGAACAGAAGAAAAAGAGTGCGTCTTTCCACGGATCTTTTCCTCTCTTCTTGGAAGTAATGATATATCAATGGGAATCTTGCTTCTTTGGGCATTGATTATTAACCATATAGATATTGTTTCTCCACTTTCTTTGGTTTTCTTTCTGGACCTGTCACTGTTGTTTTCCTATGTGTAAAAGTAAAACACTCCTTTGTCGTCTCTCTCTCTCTCTCTCTCTCTCTCTCTCTCTGTCTATCTGTCATCTATGAAGGAATGATAGGATAGCACTTTGAATTATCCTGTCAGTGTGCTATCTGCGCGCATGTAAAGGATGGAATCTTTATCTGTTGGGAAACTTTATGCTACAATGTCCTGCTGATTCCTATTGTCACAATGAGATGACAAAGTGTTTCCTGCAGAAATATGCCTCTATCGGGAAATGGTAAGGATAAAGAAAACCTAAATGCAAGTCTTCTTCATCATCACTTGGAGACAGGAAGGTCTTTGTATTTAGCTGCTCCACTGTCCAATCTCTGTCCTCTTCTGTCTCATTTGGCTTCTGATGATTGAATCTTTTTTCCTTCAGCTCATTTGACTTGAATTTTTCTGTGTTGGAGACTATGTTGACATGATAAATGTGGCAGACCATATAGTTTAAGGTTCATTGTCACATCAGCATGATGAGAATTGCTGTGAGAAAAGCTTCATCATTTACAATAGTCAGCATTGCCATTATGGTTTGATAATATTAGAGGAATTCAAACCATATAATTTCTTCTGATACCTCTGTTTTGTGTCTGTAGGCTATCAACAACATCTGCATTCACAGCACTTTGTGTTCAAAGAAAACTGAGATACAGAACCATAAAGAAAAGCCTGTACATACTGTGCAGCCTCACATCAGAACATAAGACACCATTTCTGTCTTCCTTTCTACATTTCTTCTTTACTCTCTCTCTCTCTCTCTCTCTCTCTCTCAGAGGTGAGCTATCAACATCTACCTTCACAGTTCACACGACCCTTCTCCATGGTGCTGGTTTATGCCACCCAGTCTCCTGACCAGTACACTGTCCTGTCGCATGTCTTAGATCTTGACAGACCTATATACGCTTTCAGAGACTTTGGCGGAACTTATGATCACAAGAAGATTAAAAGAATCGGATCACATCTTTGCTTTCTTGGCGTGTTCTTCCCACTCACAAGCATCATAACTGTTCTGTCTGCCCAAACACTAATGCTGTGACCTAACCCTGCCTGCATTGATGCCATCTGCACTGGATTTTTCAGTGCAGGTGAAATTCCTACAGATAAATGAGAGAAATTGCTACAGATTTATCCACCGCCAGTGTAGGAAGACAGGAAGAAAGGACCACAGGGACGTACACGATATTTTTCAGATGTGTTGTTAGTAATGGGTGCTCTCTCATTCCTCTCCTCCGCCTCCTCTTGGCACGCCACCTCGCTGAATCCATGGAGAAGCGCCCGCGCGGTCGGGCGAAAGATATCGACCACCACCATGACGACGACGGCTCGGAAGGTCTCTTTCTGCAACTCCACTCCCCATGCAATAGCTCCTTCTTCACCGTTGTTCATGTCAGTCACTTCTTTGCTCTTCTCCGACTCGTTCCATGAATCCTTGGCGCGTGCAGAGGTCAGCAGCAGCGAGTGGGAGTTCATCGACATGTCGGATGAAGAGGTAGACATTATTTGCAGGATGTATAGGCTCGTCGGCGACAGGTAGTCTCCCAACCTTTCATGCGGTTCCATTTACCTTCTTCATCCAGAACCGGAAGAGGATTCAGTGCACATGCTTCCTCCACCTCTGAACGGTGAGAGGTGGACTCGTGCAGGTGGGAGATGATAGCGGGCCGAGTCCCCGGCCGGACACCGGAGGCGATCGAGCGGTACTGGAAGATGAGGCACGAGCCATGCTTTGCGGAGAGGAGGCTGAAGAGAAGGAGAACACAGATCAGACAACAGAGGCTCGGCTGATGGCATTGATGCCTCTCGTGTAATCATGGAGGCAGATGTGTGTACGTCGCATGGGCCATATGTGTGGCTGCCCAAAGCACTGCAACTTTTAATTCCGCATAAGGATTTGTCCCTATCGTAGGCCAACTTTACCATCTTCGCAGCTCTCACTTTCTGCATCAAACAAGCTAAAATGTTCAGATCAAAACCGGGTTTCTATCGGTGATCTGCAAAGGGCAGACTCCCACTGGTAGGAAGACTGGCTGTGACCAGCAGAGGAGATGGATACTCTGCAGATCAGCAAAGGCACATGCAAGTGAGATTCATACAGATACGGTGTCGGGGACAAAATGAGATGATATGGTGCTGCTTGCCGTCACATTTTTACCCACACCAGTAGTTCCAGTTCTGCTGACTGCCTGTGCCATTCGAACAAGAAGAAGAAGAAGAAGAAGAAGAAGAAGAAGAAGAAGAAGAAGAAGACCATACACTTTATTTGGTCATTCTCCAAATCTATTATCTTCACCATTTTCTTCGTAAATCGATGGGATCATTCTCAGTTCTTCAGATTAATTTATGAGGAAGTGAGTGATGAGGGTAATAATGACGATAAGACTCGGGCGACATCAGCTGCCCCAAATGACGCCTCGCACCTTTGTTGACCTGACAGCACCTGGTCAACACGGATCGGAACGCCAACCGAGGCACATTAACATCCTGCTCAGGCTCGATCCCTCATGCCATGCCACCGTCGACGTCAGACGCTACCAGAAGTACGATCCTGCTCCCTGCGGGCAGGTATATCAGACAATGGTAACCATCACTATAAAAACCCTTGCGCTCCGAGGAAAGGAGGGAGGACGACAGAAAAATCCCCCTGCGACTATTTACTGACTTGATCGTCGGAGGGGTCGGGTCGAGCTCTCCCGACCCGACCTGTGTCCAGGTGCGAAGACGGAGGCCTCCCGCTAGACGCCCAGGCGAGGAGCCCCCTCTCGGAGGAAACGATGACCCCTTCGCAATCGGACCACTGCAGTCAGCCACCTCAACGATCTCAAGGGTCGTCCCGGGGAGATCCCCCATCATCCGGACCCGAACCAAGCCGCGTCGGCCCTGAGGCCACGGCTTAAAGTTGTTTACACTAACAGTGAGGAAATCATTTTACCTCCGTAAATCACATAAAATATTGGACTTTAGATAAACATATATGCTCTGACCTGCATCATTAACAGGCACAAAGCCTATGTATGTGCTACCTCGATAACCCCTTCGGCTTCCCAATGAGCTGCTGATGGTCCTCTCGTATTGTCGACATGCATGTTCGTCATGATCCTTAGAAAATGTCATCGACAAGCTCTTGAATCACTCATACACCACCCTGCTTAACGCTCCCAAAGCTTGAGACCTCTGCTGCAGATTTACCTTCTAGTTCTCAGTCGAAGCATATCCAGGCTGTCCTCTTCAATTGGAATCTGAAAGCGAACAGCTCACGGTGGATTTATTACTGAGGTAAAAACCCTTCACCATGAAAGGAATGTTCAGTTTGAAGTGGGGCTAATTACATAATTATTTTTAATATCTTAATCCATATATTTTTAAAAAATATATTTAAATTTTTATAATTACGAAAGTAAAATATTTAATCTTATTTTTCTCATATTATCTATTATAATGATAAAAATATTACACGTGTTCAATGATAAATTAAAATGAGAATACACTCCGTGATAAACTCTATAATATTTTTTGTCCAAGATATACAATATCATATAGTACCGGTATTTCGAGGTTCGCTCGGTACGGTACCGACGTACCGAGCGATACACCCGGGCGTACCAAACGGTACATCAAGGCTTATCGAGCGGTTTCCTGTTACTATAGCACTGTAGCACTACTGCAGTATTTTACTGTAGCACGCTCCCCCCGGTAGCGGGCGGTCCGCGTACCGATATATCGTCGGACCGGTACGTACCGCCCGTAGTGGTACCATTCGAAATTCCATACCATGTTTTTATCAATAAAATCGATGACATGAGGGGAAATGAAGTTAAATATTTTATTTTCATAAATATAAAAATCTAAATATAAAATTTTAAAATATAACAAATTAAAATATTAAAAATAATTAATTATAAGAGATAATATATAATTAGCTCTCAAATGGAGAAAGATAAACAAAAAAATAAAAAACAAAATGATGCCAAAAGAACACTAGTTTTTTCGCAGTTGAGCTTATGAAAAGCTCTACCATTTAGCACATTAACATTTTCCCACCACTTGGATTCAACAGTTTCATCACTATAAAAAATAAAAAGAAAAAGAAAAAAAGGACTTTTCTTGTGACATCTAACTAAACTCACCTATCTCTCTTCCTTTTTCGGTCCATCACGTTAAAAAAAAAGAAAAAAAGAAAGAAAAGGAATTATATAATCAAAGTAGCCATTTACTTATATTACTAATATTCTTATATTTGGTTGTTGGTAATTCAGTTAGCGAGCACTTCCCAGATCAATTCAGGATCGTAGGATGGCATCCGCGCGAGCGAACAGTGGCCGTCCATTTCGCTCACGCACGATGTCGACGCCGAAGCCGAGGACGACGTTTGGGACGCGCCTGCCTGTGTGTCCTTTTCCTTCTCCTTGACGACGTTCGCTGCCGTCGATCGCCTCGCCGGGCGGCGCCGACCGAGGCGCTGGCAGATGGCCTGGATCTTGGAGTCGACAGCGGACCGCAGCAGCTTGAGCCGCTCGGGGCAGTCTCCGGCTTGCTGGAGGTTCGGGAAGTTGAGGCGTGCGTACTCGCCGCGGAGTTTGTACGCCGCCCGGTCGTACGCATACGCCGCCGACTCGGGGGAGCGGTAGGTGCCCAGCCAGATCCGCATCCGGCTCTGGGGCAGCCGGATCTCCGCCACCCACTTCCCCCGCTGCCGCTGCCGCACCCCCCGGTACAAAGTCTTCTTCCCCCTCTCCGCCGCGTCCGCGCCGCAGTGGCGGTAATCCAACCGGGCGTCGTGGCCGTGGCACTGGCTGCTGAGCCGCCGGAGTAGCTCGGTCTGCCGGAAGTAGACGGCGGAGCCGAGGGGCAGCACCGCGGAGGACTGGGCGGCTGGGAGCGGCGGAGGGAGGTGGGAGAAGATGGAATCGAGCGCGTTCGTCCCGGAGAGGAGGATCTCCGATAGGGCAGCGCTAATCTGGCCGGGGAACAGCGGCGGCGGTAGGGTTTCCACAGTTCCATCCATGATTCCGGCGATTCTTTGTCGCCTAATCTCCAAGTAAGCGCCTTTTTCTCTTTCCTCCAATAAATGTGGAAATTTTGTGGAATTAGACTTAGAATTAAGAGGATGCAAATGGAATCAGGGGAATTAGAGCAACAAGAAACTCCAAAGCAGATGCGTGATTGGGGGCATTACAGAAGAGAGAAGATGATACGGCCGGCGCAGTGGAGTTGGGTATTTATAAGCGGAGAGAGTTCTCCGCTTCTATGGGCACTATGGAGAAGGAAGATTTGGATGATGGCGAGAGGGAAGAGTGGGGACAGCAGTTGGCCACCGTGGAGGCTCAATTGACTCCCATGTGGACAGATTCGAGAGAGAACAAGAGCTACTCGAAGCTTTTGCTTTTTTTTGTTTTGTTTGACAATGGAGCAATGTAGTCCAAACGCATACTTTTGGCATTTACGATTCCCACCTGTGCAGGTTGCCATCAACCTTTCGGCCTCTGGATTATGAGCCTTAGCTCTGGCTTAGCTTAGCTTAGCTCACTTGAAGCTCCATAGGATTTGGTTATATGAAATATAAAGTAAATGTCCTTGAAAGGACAATGCAGAGAGGCAATGAAAGCAATGATGGGATGGAAGATGTGCTAAAGTCTTTGGAAGCCATGAAGCCAATGTCCAGTATGTAATACTTGGCAAGCCATTCCCACAGCAAATCAATTGTTCATTGACTTTGTGCTCCTTTGGTTTATCTTATTGTTATTGAAGTCTCAATCTGAGTTATAAATACATGCCAAACACGTGGTACTTTTTGAGAGGGTATTAAGCTGTATGGGGCTCTGCCAGGGACATGGATTTCCAGTAAGCAGCCATAAGTCCTACTGAATAGAAACAGGACACATAGTAGTGCAACACGAGACCCAGCAATCATTTTCTTACCTGATATCTCCTTTCCATGTATTAATTCCCAAATAAAACCAAGTCACTTCCCTTCACTTGAAATAGAAGAATAGTTCTTAGTGGAGTCATTTATATGGGACAAAAGAGTTGTATTTGTTGTCAACATGGTTAGGAATTCATCAATTACTGACTTTTTAGGATGTCCATTCATGTGAAATATATTATTTGTACCTCGATGCTATCAACTCTTTTGGCAGTGCAGTAAGGTCATTTAATAGGTTAGGTTAAGGATATTTGCTAAAGGGCTACAAGTGTCTGGTGTAGGTTTTCAAAGAAATGCTCAATCATGGTGTGTGGCTTTTGGACAGATTGCAGTGGCCTGTGACTTGTGACATGTGAGTCTTATAGCACATCATAATCCAAAATCACTACTCAATAGGCATTCACGAGGGAAGACACTGCATGCATGTACCATTTGCTTTGCTATCTGGTTCCATCTCTTGTGCATTTGGCAAAGAGCACATTACCCACTTACAGGTGTTGCCAAGATAACTTGTACAGCATCCTTGTATCATATGAGACTTCATGATTCATCACTTATCTTCAAGGCCATAGTTTATAATATGCTTGTGAAAGTATTAAAAAATGAATTCAAGAATCAGATCACATGAAGTCAGAGGAATCATGTACTCCATTAGGATTACATGAATGATTTATCGACAGGGAATAGAAGAGGCAATGGTCAAGAACTAAGAAGAATGAATTAAAGTATCAGAAGATTAACTGATCATATTGAGGAAGTAAACAGAGTGTTCACTTAGCATGTAACCCATGATATATATGTCTTTATTAGGATGATAAGGATTCCTTGGTCTTACCTGTTGAATGGGTCATACAAGAAGCCATGAGACAACTACTAGTAGGAACAAGTCCAGCAGGGCGAGAATCAAGAATTGTTGAGGTGCCTCCTTCAACTTGTGTGGCTACTGAGACATCCTATAATATCTGGAGGAGTAGGTTATATTCCCTCTTGTTGAGGAAATAGTCCTTAAAATCAAATCACCAATGTGATGAACATGAGGAGGAGAAACAAGCATAGTGTGCAGCACAAGCCACAGAGCTTGAGAAACTGCAAATTAGTAGTGGTCCATGTGAAGGAAGCGATGCTATCCACGGGCATCTCAGGCTGCACACCTTGTCGGCTCCGTTTTGACATTTTGCTTGCAGGGGAGCTTTCAGTTGCACCAGTCAAATTAATTGAGCACATCGTCCACACTTCCCGTCTCTTCGTGATTGCCCCTTTGCATGGAAGACGGCCGCCAAGTCTTCATGCACCACTCGATGACCGTCTCCAAGAAAAAGTAATGTTTTGGACGCATCAGGCGTGGCTTCACATGGGGCTGCCCACTCTTCATCTGACACATCTGCCATATATGGCCCCTTCACGCCCACAACCCCTTTCCCTTCTCTGGTTCATAGCCATAAACATGTTCCCCCCTCCTCCCCCCATGCTTGCTACCTCCTTCAAGGTTTACTTTATCTACTCGATGACTAACAAGCCTCACCTACTTGTATGAACTAAAGACTAACATGTGTGACCAGTGGTTCATTCACAAGACAGTTTCTCTTTAATATAGAAGAATGTTAAGTCAATACCTTGGGGATTTGTCATCTTCGTGGGCGCCGCAAATGTACTTCCCAATTTCACTGTATGTCTCACTGCCACATGGCTTCAGCATCATCATCGTTTCACACCTGCCTAACACTGATCTTGGCAAGGAAGGGAGGTTCATTAAAGCCATTCCAGAGATTGATTTGAAGTGTCAATTTCCATATTTTTAAATGACTTTTTTTTCTATAGTAAATAAAACTTCAAGTTCTCTAAAAAGAAAAAGGAAAAGAGTTTGGCAACTGATCAAAATGCGATTAATTAGCACACCAACCAGGAATACATTTTTCGATCCGATTCTACCGAAATCCCAGCTGTCGCAGCCCAAAAGCATCGGTTCTACTGAAACAACCCACCTGGCCAAGACAAAAACATAGTGTTAGTTCAAAAATATTAACACGGAGATTCATAGGAGAGGCGGCAGATGGTTTCATCTACCTCTCTTTCCACCAGGGGAATATATAATCCGTAATTTTTGCCAAGAACTTTAGCATCTATTTTTTTCAAAATATGGGTTGTTGGCCAACTCAAACATCCATCTAAATGCCTTTTGCAGCTTCTGTTACCGATCATTTGGTATCATAAGATTCTCAATTCTCTTTTTTCTTTTTTCTCTTTCCATCATGCAAAAGATCATGCACAACATACACGGAAGATATGGTACCGATAAAAAAAGAATATGTTAGTTCATAAGGAAGAATATATGCACAAGGTCTCTCTTGTGTCGTTCTTTTGTAGTTTAAACTTCAGAGCTTTACAAGTCAATGTCCTTGTTATCATTTATTTTAGGTTGCAACAAACTGAGTTTGGTCCCAAACATAATCTGTGCTTTCAGAGTAACATTGTTGCACACTTAGAGTTTTAATGCTCTTCTGACATTATGATCTTATCAGACACCAATATTCCAACCATAGTACTGGTAACATAGAACATTCTAGCTTGTCATACATGTTTCAATATCTGGTACACTATATAGCTTGGTTTGTGATACCTGAGGGGTGTGTTAGTTTATAAGTCATGGATTCCATTGAACTGCTTACAGCTAGTTCATCCATTTATTTAGGTCATACAATGACATGCATTAAAAAACTAAAATTGCTCAACACAGTAGATCAAATAAGTTGGTCCTGCCAAGTCAATAATTATGCACTTTCACTATGTCAAAAACAATTGTGGTTGACGACATGAAAATGAACTCATGGCATTATTGTTTTTACCTAATGAACTCTAAAATATAAGTTTTGGAATGGATTATCAAGTAGATGTATACAAAATAAAATCTATTTATTTAATAATTAATTTATATATCCACATATAATTGAATAACATTTTGAACCAAACACCTATCTAACTCATACTCAATCATTACCTTCTCTGTTGGTGTAGTATCTAAGTTTATGCATAATCCAAACAAACATCATCTTAGAGCTATTAAAAGAATTTTATGTTATATTACTAGAACTACATATTATGATATTTGATATTCTGATAATTTTAAATGTAAATTATTTTATTTCACTGATAGTGATTGGGAAAGAGTTTTGGATGATAGAAAGAATACTTCAAACAATATTTTTAGCCTCGGATCAAGAGCTATATCTTGGAGCTCAAGAAAACAAGCAACGATTGCATTATCGACATCAAAAGCAGAATACGTAGCTGCAACATCAACAGCTTGTTAAGCAATATGACTTAGAAGACTTTTTGGAGATACTTCATAAAAAAAAAAAAGGAAGCAACTAAAATATTTTGTGACAACAAAGCTACAATTGCAATAACAAAGAAGCCAATCTTTCGTGGAAGAACAAAGCATGTAGAGATACGCTATCATTTCATCCGAGATCTTGTAGAAAATGAAACCATAACAATAAAGTATGATAGCAAAAGTTACAAAAATTGTCACTAAGTCACTTCCATTTTAGAAGTATATTCATTTCATATCTCAAATCGATGTATATAACTATGAATGAGAGTGTTGAGAATTGATTCTAGGTAGTTGCAAAGGGACAATCACGAAGAGATGGGAAGTGTGGACGATGTCTGGTAGAATCTAAAAAAACCAGCAAAATAAACCATGCAAAGGGGAAGTGTGGGCAATAACTTAGAACATGCTTATAACTTCTTATAACTATGAAACACAGAAAAAAACCAACAAAAATCGAGAAATTGAACCAATGCCTGGTAGAATCTCGACTCACCTCTTGTATGCGATGATTGTTCCACGTACGTACAACCTGAATCCGAAATGAAACCAGCAAAAGAGCAAGAAAACGTCACAATAATGAAATAAAAATATAGAGAGAGGGAAGAAGACAATCGTGAATGATTGAGAGCTAGGGTTTTGAACCGAACCGCACGCGCTCGCCTTGTCGCCCCTTCACCATTTGCGCCCGCCGAGGGCGCTCACGAGTCCATGCGGCTAGGGAGAGAGAGCACGTCCAACTGAAGTGCGAAAACACCTAATGGGGGATCCCCAGGACGGGTTTTAATGGGGCCAGTCACAGGCAAGAGATCAGTGGGTCGGACGGTTGGTGTCGCAACTAGAGGCGACGAGGTGGGTTTTCCTGGGCAAGAGATCTCTGTTCTTTTTGGGCCTCTTTCGTCTATCGTCATCCATTTGGGCAAGTTAGTATTTTGAGATTTCCGAAACCCAAAAACAAAATGACCCTTCTTTCCTACCCTCGATCACTGGTTCTTTTGGTTGGGTCCCGAAAGTGCTGCCTCTGCAATTGTTTCGTCACCCTGTCATGGCCCGGCACGACAGAAGCAACAAAATGACCGCATTCATCCGTACCACTTGTATCGCTTACCCCGAGGGGTGCAATTCCGTATGTACAAGAAATTATGGCATGAATACCCTGCGCTGTATCTCGCAATCCCATCTTTAATCGGTGACACCCCTCGATCGATCGACCGATGGATAGATATGTTTTGGTTCTTTGGAGGATTTTGCTAAGCTTCACTGTTCTTTTCAGAATTTTCCGTTCACGTTTCCGCCAATTCATTCCAGGACAGACAGGCAGGCAGCAATCGCATGGTCGAACTAAATAACTGTTCAAGCATCATGAGTCATGGATAACATAAGAGTAACACAATTCATTATACAACGTATGCTTACATTTTAGTAAAATGTCCGCGTCGATGCACACAGTCCAGTGAAGGATGATGCTGCCTCCCGCTAGCGTGAGCAAATTCCATAAACCATACACATTCGGTCAGACAAGATTGACAAAAGGTCAGCGAGTTGAGAATTCGAAACTGCTACAAATATAAGATACAGTATCTCAGACAAAAAGGCTTTAGTTAAGCGGAAAATTTTTTAGTCACAGTATACAAACATCTAATGTACAAGAAAAAATGGGTGGCGGTCAACCTTAAGCTTTGAGGGGCATCTTAATAGCATTTCTTAAGCAAGTGGGAAAAACACCTTGCAACTCATACTTTTGCGACAGAATGTCAAGAATTTGAATTGCTACGAGCTTCATTCAGACTCTGCAAATGAAAAACCACAAAAAATATTATGCATTAGCAGAAAATTATGAGCATGACATCTTTATTGAGATGATTCTCTGACACTGACCAGGCGCTTAAAGGATTTTCCAGACACCAACTTCTTCGACTTCTCTGATTCTGGTTTAGCACGATCCAAAGCCTGGTGTAAGAGAATAGGATAGCCATTGTTATCAGAGAATCATTATGTTCAGAGAGTCTCTGAACCTGAATAAGCAGTTTAGGAACTCACTATGTAATATCTATTCTATCGTGTAATTTCTTGAAACTAAGACCAGGTGATCTTCCAGATAATCAGATTTTTCAGGTTCGGTTATTGATACAGAAATGAGAATGAGGTACTGATAAAAACTTCTGCCCAGAATCATTGTTTGTTGATGTGCAAAAAAGAATTCAGCAGTTGTAGTAATATTATTTTACTATTCAATTAATGTGCATCAATCCTGTGTTTAGAAGTCAAAGCTTCACAAATGGCAGCCTGCAGCAAAAATTGAAGTCTCTATGGAAAACATCTCCAATGTTAAGATCTATTACAGAAATCCACAGTTCCTAGGTAACTATTGGCAACAGTATTATGATAAATAAAGTAATAGTCACCACATTTTACTGCTTAAAAAAAACTTCTAAAAATATTATACAGTCATAATAGTCATGCAAAGAAATGATTCTACTGCTTTAAAAAACCATCAAAATTTCTCAGTAAATGAACTGTGATCAAATAGCAGAGTTCTGAAAAATGCTGCAATACAACTTAAATGAAATCTACATCAGACCTACAAGGCCAAGAATGTAAAAAAAAAAACAATATCAGAATTTTTTTCATTTTTTATTGAAAGGGCCAAAGGAGAATATAATCAATAGCAGCAAGGAAACACAACAAGTAACAAGAATTACCTGAATAAGTGACTCCACACGTCGTCTCATTCTGGTATGCATGAAACCTTCTGAACACTATCAATAAACAAGAAATAACTTAAAAGAACTGGAAAGTAACACTTGTCACATGTCGATCTAATGTTAATACAAGAGAAAGGAGGTTCAGATAAAGGTAGAATCAAGCAAAGAAAAGAAACAAGTGCAAATCATAAAGTTTTTAACAATACCTATATCCTTTTCAACCTCAACTTGCCTGATTAGGAGTGCATCAAACAAAGTTAATTCAATTCTGACCTCATCAGAGATCAAGTTTTCCTTGCTAAATGTCTTGTCCAAATAATATTGCTTATGCCTTTGCTAATTAGCATGGGTCTCTCACCAGAGATACCACTATGGTTTTGAGTCGCTCTTGGCACAACATGCACATGCATAGTTTGCTTTTCTTCTTCAATCATTAATACTTGTCATCCATATACTTCCTCATGCAATCTTCCAAATCACTGTTTTCATAAGTACAGGCATTTAGTATCCTTCTTTCTTGGAGTTCATTGTCTTAAATATTTTAACCTTCACTAACCAACACTCCTTGCTCAAGGTTGTATCTTATTTGACCATGGTCTTTGGATAACTATGCAAATATACATCAAAATGGAACCATAATCAGCTGTATTCATTAATTATACCATCAATTGAAACAAAGGAAGAACAATATCCATTAGAAGAAATTGATAGGAAAAATGAGTACCTTTACATGATAACTGACATATGCATGAAATGTTAAAAGGCTCCAAACAGTTCTGTCTATTTTTTTTCCTTCAACATGACGAGGGAAAATCACTGCAAATAAAAGAAGTCATTTAGAATTAAGAATATATGATTATTGACAAAAAATACCAAAATGATATGACCTAGTATTACCAAAAGTAACGAATCCTGCATTTGCTGTTAGCGCTTGAGCAGGTGCTCCTTTCAACTCAAGAGGAGGAGAAGGGGACCACATACAAGAAGGTGCATTATTAAGTCCAGCCGTTCTCCTCGACTCAATAAGCTCCTAGAAATATAAGCTTCTTTTTAGCTGAAAAATTCTAAATTTAAGGGCCCAATTCAACCCCAAAACTCACTGTTTTAAAGAACATGATAGCTACTTCAACCAAAATACATAATCTATGGAGTGAATATTAAATGCTTCAAAATAAAATCCTCAGAACCAATTGGGCTAGAAAATGCACATTTCTACTAAGATTGTCAATATGTTCACAAATTATATAAAAAAATTGGTAAACACAACCGTGACAAACTCTATTAGTATGATTGATTGATTAACTCTTGCTTCAAAATGACTACATGATGCATAATTCATCAATTAGTCAAAAAAGGGGATGTTCCATCTTACCTGTAAGAACGATGTTGCCAAAACAATATCAGTGGAGTCCTGGAACCTCATTGGATAGACAACCGTTACTTTTTCAGCCTGCTGAAAGAAATCCAAAGAATCGCTTAATGACCTCAAAACCTTGCTACTGGTAGGTAAACTTATCATTGGTCCCTCATTGAGTAACCACAGATTTAGAGATGTTTACAAGCCATGATTTTTTTAGCAATAAAGAAGTTACTGGAGTCTAGGTTCAGTTAGGTTCCAGTTTGATACTAGCAATATGGTTGAGTGGAGAGGAAGTGATCTGTGGTTTAATGCATGAGAATAGATCAGGCCACATTCTTCAATCCAGGTCTGATTAATACCCAACTTCTTACCTTCCAATTGCTTTATCAGTAGAATATGTGCTGTTTATTCTTCAAAATAGAACTTTTACTACAGTGCATGAAAAGAAGTTATTCACTTGTCCAAATGTATCCCTATAGTTAGGTGGGGAAATCTCACATGTGCACATGAATGAGAGAATAAATGTCTGGAACAAGTTTCGGGCATTGTTAAAATAAAGATCAATTTTTACTTTATATAAGGTATATTCACCATGAACAAGTTCCATCCAGCCTTCAAGAATAAGCATGTAGCTTAAGACAAATGATTCCACCAATATAAGTTTCTCTGGTGAGAGTATCAATACCTGAGGAAGTAGGAAAAACGACTCCTTAGGTCGATGCACAAGAGCGATAAGTTGATCCATTTCAGGTGCAACTGTCTTTGTTGCAAGGTTCTTTAAAACAAATCTCAACGGAGCACCTAATACAACTTCTCTCACAGATGCAATTTTTACCAGAAGAGCTTGCCTTTGTTCTGGAATCTCACATTTAAAAAACAAACAAAGAAAACAATAAATAGATTGAAGATAAGCAACAGACAAAGATTATTAAAGCCCACAGCCTAGTTGAACAATCACAAAAAAAAAAAACTAGGCATCTCTCCACCTACAATTTCCTATGGACCCACCAGCAGACCTTAAGATACTAGACAGCCACCAAGACTGCTATCTAAGCTGATTTTAAATAGTCCAGAAAACCTTCTGGGAAGAATAAGAAAAGAAATGTAATAGAGTCCGTGAGCATATGGCATTGTGTCTTCTCTCAAAATAAGCTTGTTTCTCATTTTAGGATAAATTCGCTGATAAAGTAGCAACAAGAGATAAAATGGTGCCAAATCAGAGACAGTTGAGCATTAGAATGTGAAGAAAACGTCATGGCCACACTATGTTCCAAGCAGACACACAAAAGACAAACTATTAGATCATGTTTTGGTGAAAGCTATTGTGGAGTTGTGTAAGCAAGTATGAGGCACGATGTTCTCATTGAGGACTTGATTGACATAAAACCTTATATTAAACCCATTGATCTGATTATTGTCATTGTTTTAGTTCTGAGTTTATTTGCTGTTCTTTCCTATCTCATCATTGATTTGTCCTTTACACCCAGTCTTCCTCTTCCCAGTTTTGGTTCCTAGAAATCTGATTCTTACCTGGTTAGTGTCTCCGTATTATTTGATCCTTAACCTGAACAATCTGACCTCATCATCACCCCATTTCAACAAAAACCAATAACTAACATTACATGCATCAGCTTAAAAATAGTTGACCTCTTACACTCCAACTGATGCTTTTTCCCAATAACCACCAGTTGCTGTTTGCAAATATCTTGATTTTACTACAAGCAATTTACCTTGAATCTAGAAAATTCTAATGCCTCAAACCTTTGTCGACAAATAAATAACAAAAACTAAAAAAACAATATGAAGTATTCTTCAACTAAGCTTTATATCTTTAACTAAATACTTTCATTAACAAACAAAATTCTTCAAAGTGGAAAAAAAGGTTTTGACCCGTTATACCACATAAATGATCAGTTGATAAAATCAATTTTTTTAACCTTTGTTGAGTGTCAAAATTCAGAAAGTGGACTTCAAAAGATAATGATGGATTATCAGATAACTAGAGGTCAAATCTCGGCAGAACAATAGATGTTCCCGGAGTTTGGTCTTGAAATCTAAGATCAGAGTAAGTAATCGCTCCTGAAATTATTTCAAAGTGCACAGAGTTATGTGACCAATCTGGAATCCAACAGTTAAGCTATCAATATTTATACGCCAAAGGATGGATGAGCTGGTGCTTCTACGCATTTATAATCAATTATAGCAAGCTCATAATGACCTTGCAAAGAGAACGCGTTGAACCTTCATCCGACGGAAGCTTCGACAGGTTGAGCTTCATCGTTAGATTATACCCATCTTTGGGGGGATCAAGAATCTGCGCCACAGCCCCATACGCTGCCTTGATGGCCTCGATGGCGCCAAAAGGAAGCCCGTCAAAGAAAATAGCCTCCGGCGGCGGGATGGGCAAGGAAACAGACAGCACCACCACGTGCGGATTCCTCATCGAGAACTGCAAGCCAATCCGTAATTCTATCACCACCAAAACTCCACCACCACCAACGACGTCATCTGTAAAAGGACAGAGATCAAAGATTTCACCTGGATATGGTACCGGACGTCATCGAACTCGACGGAGTGGCAATCCAGATCGACGCCTTTGTCCGGGCTGGCAACAAACAAGTATCGAATCAGACCAAGGGTTCGATACAAAGGTTTGGATTAACCCTAATTCTTGGCGATCGGGATCTGCGGAATCGAGACAGAGGAGGTGGAATCGACTACCTGAGGAGGCGATCCTGGAGGATTTGGAGGAGGAATCGCGAGGGTGACTGCAGGAGAATCATTGGAACTCTCTCGGAGAACCGGAGGAGAATAAGAAAAGAGCGTCAGCAGCTGCCGTGAATGGGAGAAATAATGACGATGATGAGCCGATGACCAGATCGAAAGGGAAAGCACCGCTTGCCTGTCGAAGCGCGGAGGAGAAAACCCCTTTTTATTTTCGATATGACGAGATTGCCCTCCTCAGTTATATTATTTTCTCGTACTTACCAAAATTAAGTTACGAAAAATAATCTAAATTTAAACCATTTTTAATTTAATTTACAGTATAAATAAAATAAAATAAATTAACTGATGTATATAATATATAGGACCGATACCAATTTTCGGAAAGCGGATCTTTGTTTTCGGGTATCATATTGATTCGATCCGTTTAAGCCGGGTTAGTATTAACGGGCTTAGGACGGGCCTAATTTTGCAGGCCCGCTCTATTGGAACGTTCGCCCTTCGCGATCTAGACGCAAAGGAACAGCCTCCGGCCTCCGCTACGAGCTCCCTCGATCCGACCACGGGAAGCGATGACGAACAGGCGATCGAGAAGGCGCGGCCGACCGCAAACCCTCTTGCCTCTTCACGCCAGCCCCACCCCCAACGCTGTCTCCTGCTGGTATAGCCTTCCCTACCTCTTTTCCTTCATCTCCAATGCCATGTTTCGAAATAGGGTGAAGTAGTCCGATTCGAATATGCTAATTCAGTTGCTTATTCCCCCTTTTCACTCGTTTTCTTTACCTTCTAAGATGTTTCCGGCCATGTTAATTATTTATCAACGTATTATTTTGGAGAATTTGTTTAAATATTCTGGTGAACTGCGTGGTGTCTTGGAACTTATCGTTTGACATCGATTTCCAGGTACTGTGATTTCAAGATTTATGCCTTCAATGAGGCTGTGTTTTCTCTTGGACGTCGGTATGCCAGGTATTGTCTGACACCTGCTGTTTTCAATTGTATTGTTCCTGTCAGTTTAGGTATGCAATTTACTTTCAGTTACTACTTTGATCTACGCACAAAATTAAAAGAAATTTTGGATGTGTGGCGTTTAAAGTACTGATCTGATAACTGTTGTTTGTTTTGCTATTTGTTCTTTTTTCCCTTTGTTTAGTTACTGAGCATTACTTTGGCAAGAATTATTTTTTTTACGTGTAGAGCCAACTGTTACAGCGATGCGATCAGGGAAAAAATTTTGTCTGCCTGTTATATTGTTTTCAGCTGCTAAATTAATTATGCTTTGTAAAGAGGTTGTGTAATCATAACTGTAATTTTCTAGTAGGTCTACCATATATCACTAACTTTTGGCTGCACAGATTCCTAAAGGTTTGGTTCACAGTGGGGGCTGCCTTCAGCTTTGTCACTATGATCGGAGTTTCAATGGTCAGGAACATATTCTTTATTTTCTTAAAATTGAATATATTCATTTATAATCATAATTTTGGCAATGTCATGCTTATTGAAAATAAATATTGTTTGTGTGACCTAAGTATGATTACGCTTTTTCTGAGTTTAGTAAACACAAGTGAACTGTGTGGCTGACCTTATAATGGCAGATAGTCTAACTTAGACAGATTTGCCTGCATTCTCATGTGGTAATACTGTCATTGTGGTTTCATGGGATTCCTAATGTGTTACTTATATATGCACATGATGATCTGCAAATCCAACTTGTTAACTCAGTGGTTCAAATTATGATACTGGAATAGAAAATAAAAAAGCAAGACATCATACTTAACTTGGTAAACTCAATTGTCCAATATATAATCATAGAAATAGAAAGTGAATATTTTAACAGCTAGAGATCTGAAATTTTAAGGTGCCTATGATACTTCTTATGGTGATCCCTTTTTTAATCTTGCACCTTTTTTTTTTTTTTGAGAACTTGTTGCAGAGTTACATGCCTTTTGCCATGTTCAATAATTCTAAGTTTTTCTTTCAGTGCATTCTTAATTTCTACCTGTGGAAATGATAGTTGCATTTCTTATTTCATTACTCTTTGAGATGCATATTTAATTATTGGTTTAAATGCTTGTATATATCTGTTAATGTATAATCAGATGCTTCTTTGGGGTACAATTGGTGCTTTTAATCTCCACCAAGAGAGTTCTAGAGTTAATGATCTTTTAGGCAGCTCGTTGTTTGGCACCTCTTTTTTGGTGAGTGTTAGTTCAATAAAATGGTTTCCTTAACTATGGATAATACTCAGATGATGACCAGTGTATTTCTGTGAAATTTAGCTTTCTGATTTGAGCATATCAATCATGGATGCTATCTCTATGATCGCTTCAACATTGTTGGCTGTTGGTCTTCATGAATTTGGGCATGCTATTGCTGCTGCAAGGTCAGTATAAAGTGACACTTCATATTCTTAGTTGCTTCCTAGTATAAAGTGAGGTTCACCTTACCGGTCTAAACCGATGTATCGACTAGCCAACAGTGTGGTATGTATCGCTTTGTATTGACATACCATGTGTTGGTACGAAGGAGCATGACATGGAAAAATGGCTAAAAATAGCTCCTAATTTTTTTAAAAAACAGAAAAAAAAAAATAGATTAAGATTTTTAAGTTAGAAATAAATATAATTTTAGTATAATTTTAGCAAAAATAATCTAAATTAGGAAATAATATTGACACATCTTTTTCAAGCTTTAAAGAGTAGTTTTACGGTACGTTCCGGATTGTTCTTTCATTGATATTGAATTATCTATAAAGAAATAATTTGAAATATTAGATTATTTGTTAAACAACTTAAACCTTAAAATTCAAATGAATTAAGTAATTGATCAATGGATATACCTAGTTCTATTATCAAAAAGAACGACAGGACTCCATAGGCAATGGATCGAGGTTCTCGATCGGCCGATCCTATATTCTATGTCAATTTGATATGTTTGTCGAATCCAATCTTGAAATTGATCCTACAACATAGTACATTGATACATCGTATGTTATTGGTGCATCAATGTGGTGATGGCTATAATTTGATCGTCGTATACTGCACGTGTCCGAGGCGGCTCCTGAGGCAAGTATAATTGTGACATGTGTTGGTGTGAAGTATGGAAAATGTTGAAACTTCTACTTTCGCCACTGGTCTACTGCTCCGTATCATAAAATCAATCACTATACTACTGCTCAGAGAAGACTGACCAACTATCATCATTGCTTGGAGAAGAATTACCAACTATCACGTCGAGCTTCATGATTTGAATCTTAGATAATACGTGTAAAATATTGCTCCTCGATCCATGCACCACTCTCAAACTATGTAGATGGGACTATCGACTTCCCGACGTCGCCGCCATCGTCAGTCATAACATTGTTGTCCATGTTGTTGCTATGTCTCTAGATATAGCGTGTTGTTGAATGCGATTAAGAAGTTGTCTATATACTTTTGGTTAGAGAGTTCTTCCTCTAACTTAGGTGTTAATCCTCCACAAGTAGTTTCTCAAGTTTGATCTAATCTATAACTCCCAGCTTTATGAAGTTTGAAGAGAGTACAAATGTAAGAATAAGAAAAAGAAGTGAGTGAGAAGGAGATTAAGTGAATATAAGAGTTTGTGAGAGTGAAAAGGGGTGAAAGATGGAGAGGGAAGGGTTTAAAAACCCTTTCAAATGGATCTAATCATTGGAAAGGTCATGTATGAGTTGTTCGTTGGTAACGGTTAAAATATTTTGATACCGGCCAGTAACAGTCGGATTTCAATCGTTACCGAGTGATACAGGCCCATATCGAGCGATACAGAGTCTTCTAGTATATATCACCTGATACAGGATGATCTGTGCATCGATCCCCTGTTGGATCGATACGTATCGCTTATACCGGACGGTATACCTCTATATGGCGAACCTTGGTATAAAGTGACACTTTACACTAATCTCTCTCTCTCTCTCTCTCTCTCTCTCTAACACACACATACAAATGTCTATTTACCTCCAGTTTCTGTGGTTCCCTTGGTTATGAAGCTTGATACTATCTTTCTAATGGACATCGGGTTGGACACTCTTCACTTAATAGTCTCTGCACATGTATTGACTCTTGACCACCCAGCAAGCAATTCAAAGTCAGTATTGACTCTTGAGCATATGTACACCTGAGACTAATTCTCCCAAACCTTATATTATGTGAAAGCAGGTGATTGGGGGATGTGTGCCCTATTTTGTCATGGACTGCAAAAACTCACCTCTAAGTTGGTTGACTGGCACCCTCTACGATGTGGCTTAACCTGTCAATTCTGATCCCAACTTATGTCTTCCAATAATAGTGCCAACCCCTATCTTCAAACTTCATTATAGTCTCAAAACCAATTCCATTGCATTCAGTAGTCATCGGAGGATGTTGAATAGGCATAGAAATGATTTTTCACCAACAGCAATTGCATAGCTTATCTTAGTCTGGAAGTGGTTTAATTTGCTATTATGCTTCTGACTTGTTTGTTGATGAGGATAGTAATTATGATAAGACTCGGCTGACGTCAGCCGACGCCTCACGCCTCGATCGACGCGACAGCACCTGGTCAAACGGACCGGAACACCGGCCGAGGCGCATTAACGCCTACTCAGGCTCGGTTCTTCACGCCACGCAACGCCAGTGTCAGACGCCACCATCTGCCCCTGCAAGCGGGCACATCAAACAACAGTAAGCTTCCCTATAAAAGCCCTGGCTTCCGAACAGGAAAGGGGCCCGGGGCGGAGGAGAAAAAACTCTTCTTCTTCCGAAATCCCCTCCACTGTCTTCTAACTCGATCGTCGGAGGGGTCGGGTCGAGTCTCCCGACCCGACCTTTGTGCAGGAGAGAAGCCGAAGGTCTCCGCTAGACGCGCGGGCGAGGAGTTCCTACCCGGAGGAAAAGGCGACCCCGTCCCGATCGGACACCGCGTGCGACCACCTCGGCGGACTCGAAACCCGTCATGGGAAGATTCCCCGTCACCCGGACTCGAACCGAGCCGCGTCGGCCCCGAGGCCACGGCTCCAGGTTGTTTACCACAACAGATTGGCGCTAGAAGGAGGGTCCGGAATGTCGGGTGATCACCCGAGCGGCTCAGACGAGCCCACGGCTGACAGGTCGCACCCGACCGAAGCCTCAGGGAAACATCCCCCGCACGGAGACCATCGTGACGAACACGCTGCCACGACCTCAGAACGACATTGGCAAATATTCGACGACCCGGGATTGTTACCGCCCGACGGCGCCCCCGCCGACTCGACGCCCGTGTCACCCGAGGCCTTTCAGGACCTCGCTCGTCAAGTCCGAGCTCTGATGGATGTGGTGCAAACCATCATCCCGCTCGTTCCTCATTCGGCGCACCCACCTGCAGTCCAACCACTGCGACAATACGAGCCGCCCGTTCGGGCCCACACAAAACTTCCGGAGCCCCCCACCTCGCCTCGGGTCCGACCGGCCCCACTCGGGGATCCAGTGATGGCAAACCCGAGCGGCCGCCCGGAACCCGAGGCACTCTCTTCGGACTCCCTGCGGGCCCAGTTGCGCTTCGTCAGCCAGCGACTCGACGAAGTACAGAATGAGGTTCGTAGGTCCAAGGGAGAGCTCGGGGAGGACCCGCGCCAAGGGTCTCCCTTCACGCCCGAGATACGGGATCAAACAGTCCCCCCGGACTTCCGACTCCCCTCTCTGAACACTTACGATGGCTCCACTGACTCGGCGGACCATGTAGCTGCTTTTCGCGCCCAGATGGCGCTATGCGGGACCTCTAATGCCTTGATGTGCAGAACGTTCCCTACCACGCTGAGAGGGCCTGCCCACTCGTGGTATGGCGGCTTGAAGACCGGAACGATCGCTTCCTTCGACCAGCTCGTCAAGGACTTCGAGCCCCACTTCGTGGCCTATGCACGGCCGAAGCCTTCCGCGACACTGCTCCTTGGACTCAAACAAAGGGAGGACGAGCCCCTCTCCCATTTCGTGGATCGTTTTGCCACGCAAATCCGGGGCCTGCCAGACACTCACCCCTCTCTGTTAGTGCAGGCGTTTATGATAGGCCTGCGACCTTCCAGATTCCTCTGGTCCCTCGCAGAGCAACCTCCCACCACGGTGCCAGAGATGCTCCAGCGCGCTAACCGGTACATCGCCGCGGAGGCCTGGGCGGCCGTGGGGAGAAGCGACGGCACCCGATTGCGGGCTCCATAAGAGAGGTCAAGCACCCGCGGTGGCTACCCGATGTAGTCCTCGTGAAAAGAAATCTAAGCCCTGCCTCGGCCTCTTTCGAGCCAAGGTTCAGTATCTACCTGACCCCCTCTCGGCTCGTGGTTAGCCTCAGCTTAAAATTTTCTGAATCTACACGGCTCGGCCATAGATTGCCGAGCCCACCTCAGGGCGGCTTGCCCACCTGAGGTGCATCTCTCGGCCATAGACTACCGAGTCCACCTCAGCGCGGCCTGCTCGCTTACGCTGAGCTCCTCGGCCACATCGCCCCAGGCCATGCCTGTGTGACCTGTTGCCCGAGCCCCACTCCTCGGCCACAGCCCGCCTGCGCCGAGCTCCTCGACCGCAGCCTACCTGCGCCGAGCTCCTCGACCGCAGCCTGCTTGCTCCGAGCTCCTCGGCCGCGTTGCCCCAGGCCATGCCTGCGCGACCGGCCGCCCGAGCCACACTCCTCGGCCATGTTGTCCGAGTCCACCTCAGCGCGGCCAGCCCGGTTGAGCCGTGTCCCTCGGCCACAGACCGATCGAGTCCACCTCAGCGCGGCCAGCCCGGCTGAGCCATGTCCCTTGGCCTGAGCCATACTCCTCGGCTGCATGTTGCCCGAGACCACGCCTGCGCGGCCTGCCCGCCTGCGTCGTGCTACTCGGCCGCATGATGCCCGAGACCACACCTGCGCGGCCTACCCGCCTGCGTCGTGCTACTCGGCTCTATACTCCCCGAGACACACCTGCGCGGCCAGCCCGCCTGCGTCGTGCTCCTCGGCTCCATGCTTCCCGAGACACACCTGCGCGGCCAGCCCGCCTGCGTCGTGCTCCTCGGCTTTATGCTTCCCGAGACACACCTGCGCAGCCAGCTCGCCTGCGTCGTGCTCCTCGGCACCATGCCCCCCGAGACACACCTGCGCGACCAGCCCGCCTGTGTCGTGCTCCTCGGCTCTATGCTCCCCGAGACACACCTGCGCGGCCAGCCCGCCTGCGTCGTGCACCTCGGCACCATGTTCCCTGACACCGCGCCTACACGGCCTGCCCGAAAGCTGAAGCCATGCCTCGGACTCCTGTTACAACGACCGACGCATAGCTTCTTTCCGGGGGAGAATATGATGAGGATAGTAATTATGATAAGACTCGGCTGACGTCACCCGACGCCTCACGCCTCGATCGACGCGACAGCACCTGGTCAAACGGACCGGAACACCGGCCGAGGCGTATTAACGCCTACTCAGGCTCGGTTCTTCATGTCACGCAACGATAGTGTCAAACGCCACCATCTGCCCCTGCAAGCGGGCACATCAAACAATAGTAAGCTTCCCTATAAAAGCCCTGGCTTCCGAACAGGAAAGGGGCCCGGGGCGGAGGAGAAAAAACTCTTCTTCTTTCGAAATCCCCTCCACTGTCTTCTAACTCGATCGTCGGAGGGGTCGGGTCGAGTCTCCCGACCTGACCTTTGTGCAGGAGAGAAGCCGACGGTCTCCGCTGGATGCGCGGGCGAGGAGTTCCTACCCGGAGGAAAAGGCGACTCCGTCCCGATCGGACACCGCGTGCGACCACCTCGGCGGACTCGAAACCCGGCATGGGAAGATCCCCCGTCACCCGGAACCGAACCGAGCCGCGTCGGCCCCGAGGCCACGGCTCCAGGTTGTTTACCACAACATTTGTCAATTCGGACCTTGACTAAGAATTTATCAGTACTGCACTGGTGACCATAGCATGTAGGTAAAGAGAGCAAAGCCATTTCAGGCTTATGAAGATAGGATGGACAACCAATTGACAGAGCTGGATGGTGGAAGCTGTTCAAAGGACAACTAGTTCCTGACGAAGAATTGCCTAATTTTGCAAGATGCTATCTCTATAGCCTTATAGTTTGTGGATCTTGAGCAGTTTCAGAGAACACTGTTAAAATGTGATAGATGACCATTATGAATGCCAAAGATCTCTTGCAGTATTTTTCTGGTCATGTTACCATATTGAAATAAAATTAGAAAATCAATTACCATATTGATTTTTTTATTGGTCATGTTGCTTTATATATTGTTTTATTGCTGTCATGACAGTGAGGGCCTACAAATTGAATATATTGCTATATTTCTCGCTGTCCTTTTTCCTGGAGCCTTGGTTGCTTTCAACAATGATTGGCTGCAGAATTTACCCCACTTTGCTTCCCTTCGAATATACTGTGCCGGCATATGGCATAATGTCACTGTGAGTTATATGTCTATGTAACTTTCAAATATGTATTAACCATAGACATTGTCATTTCTACCAAAGTTTCTTTGGTTCTTGTTTATGTTTAACCACGGTCATTTCATTTCTGCATCGGCTATCACTAAAATTATTTATGTTTTAATTTTTTATAATCCTTTATAAGCATCTTTTTCATTTCCATAGAACTTATTACTCTGATTAACTATCTATGATTTTGTTCTAAGAAAAAATGATATATAACTGAAAATTTGTTAAGTTATGACTGAAAACAAGTTATTAAAGAGCAGTCTCTGAAATGCCTCCTTAGACACCTCTTGAATACAACCGAGCTGCTTTTTCTTATGTTGTGTAGTAAGTCAAATTTTAGCTTGCAGAATTATTGTAATGTCATTACTTTGTTTTTTTTAGCTATGGCCTGCTGGAGTTTGTATTCCTTCTTTCTGGTAAATCCCCCTTGACTCTTGAGTAAACTAAATAAGAAATATCAGAAAATTTGTTTGGAGTGTGAGTATTCTTTGGTATGATTGGTCTATCATGTATTGGTATGAAGTTGGATGGATGCAGTCAGCATGGACAGGTAACATTGACAGGATTTGTCCTTTTCTTTTTTAGTATTTGTGGCCTATAGGAAGCTGGACTTTAGCTCTTATCAGGCATAACACTAACTTCCTATGTTGTGGTCTGTTAAGAGTAGTAAACAATAGGGTACCTGGTAGTCACCATGACCATGTCAAGTTCTGACATTTTCATAGTTATACGAAGATGAATATCATATTCAGGATGTATATGTTGCCACCTTTTTGTCATAGGGAAAAATGTTTCTTTATTTGTTATATCAGTCTGGTAGTTATTTTGGTATAATTTTTAAAACAACTATGACAATGTTTCCTTTTTTCAGCTTTGTGCAGCATGTGTGCTGATATTTCTCTCACTTCCCATGATCTTGCATCCCCTTTACATTCATGGTGAAGGCCCTCTGGTAGGTGTTTCTTAAATCCAGTAATATGATTATAGATTATGTCATCTTCCCTTTGTTTTCTAAATTAATGCTTGGAACAGGTTTTAGCGGTGCCCAAAGCATCTCCTTTTGATGGGTATTTGTCTCCTTATGATATTGTAGTGTCAGTGGATGGATCAAATATAAAGAGTCCTCATGAGTGGATCAGTATGATGGATGAAGTGAATTCTCAAATGCTTGCTCAAACTTATGAAACTAGAGATACTCAAAATTCTCAAGTTCTTAACCATAGAAAGGGCTATTGTGTTCCTGATAATTGGACGGAAGCAAGCAGCATATCAAATTCATGTTCTGATGAGTTTGCTGCTTTTGTGCGCTTGCCATGCTCTGATTCAAGCTTGGTAATTGAAAGTCTCAGTGGTGAGAACAGATTAGAAGGTAAACATTGCTTGATTGCTAAAGAAGTTGTCAAGCTTAAAAAATGTTGGAATGGCTGGCAAATGAATGGAACTGATGGAACAATTTGTGCATGTGCAGAGGTATGAAATCTAGTTTCCCATTCACTTAATAGAATGCATCTATGAGTTGTTGATGATCGTATAATGCTGTAGATAGTTGTAAAGTTTTACTATCTAATTGGTGTCCTTTTATTTTAATATGGTAAAATAATACAAATCCTGATTTATAGGCTATGAACTTTCTCAAGCTTAGGTAACATTGCAGCCATCAACCATTTCTGAATTAGAAAAAAGGCAAAAAGAAAACTCTCTCTTTTTTGGTTACTGGTGGGTCTTGACAAATTTTTTCAACATCACCAGATTTTTTGGCATGGCATTTTGCTCTTCTGACTTATTGATCAAGAGCTTGATTGCTTGTCTTTGTAGCTTCAAAAATTATAATCATACTGCTTCTTGCAATATGGAATACTTTGCTAATCTTTAGTTATGTGGTTTATTTACTGCTTATGGCTGATGTGATGAACTACTACAGGATGAATCTTGCATGGCACCTGTCGAGATCCCGGGCATGTCATGGGTTGAGATTACTTATTCAAGCCCCTATTCTGCGGAGTGCTTAAAGAACAATAGGAACTCATCAGCATACGATGAGAATCTTAATCTGGGGCCAACTTCATGTGGAGGAACTTTTGTATATGTTGGTGATGTGCTCTCTGTGGCACATTTAGTTCACTTGTCTGCATATCAGCCCCGATGGCCATCTATTATTTTCATGGCACACATACCAAATTTACTGGAAAAGCTTTTATCTTGTTGCTTCCACGTTTCCGCATCTTTAGCTTTAGTTAATAGCTTACCGGTGAGTCATATTCAGTCTACTTGCTCTCCAGATGCTAAGACTTTTGATGTCAAGGTTCTTTTGCCTGTTGCTTTAATTGAAAAATTAGTCTCTTGTGTGTATATATATATGCTGGCTCTTCCTGCTTACGTTGCTTTTTGGATGACTTTCTATGCCGTGTGAAACTTCCTGTTATTTTTCACTTCCAAGGCTCACTGCCAGTCATCAGATAACTTAGATGGCTCTGGGCAATGCCTATGTCTAGGCACCAGTGGGCAGTGCCCATTTTGACCGATTTTGGCAAATTCAGCCTATTCCCCGAAAAACTGTCTGTACATGGTATCCAAGAATATTGGTTTGTTTATTCATTGTGTGTAAAACCATAGCAAATTCAAGGACAAAACATCTTTATTAATATCTTTGAAATATTTGAAACATTCACAAAATGAGTTGTGAGTCGTGTCTTTATTTTATTTTCTGATCACAAGGATACTTCTCCTAAGTTCTTCTCATTTATGCATAAATTTTTGTTACTTGTTTAATTTCTAGTTTTAGATTCATAAATAATATGAAGTGATAATATTTGTGGTTGATCAGGAACAGTAGACAATAAAAAACAGTGTATTTAAATCTGATCTCTGAACTTGCCAACTTCCTTAGGTGTACCTTCTGGATGGTGAATCTATATTAGAGATTATTCTTTCCTACATCAGTTGTCTTAACCGGAAACACCGCCAAAAGTTTCAGCAGTTCTGCCTTGTTGGAGGGACTATCTTGTCCATCATTTTCTTTTCAAGGATCCTTTACTTCATATTGGTTGTCCAGAAGTAGCATCTTCTGTACCTTTATATTCCAATTTGTAAGTGTCGACCCTAGTTTATTTAATGTAGTCTTTTTTATCTGTGGTCCTTAATAGTTTTGTCTAATTACTATTTTTAATTTTTGAAAGGATATCATCCTAGAACAATGTGATTTTGCTGGAAAACATACATACCAAAGCAATATATAACCAAGGTCCAGCACAGATTGCCAAGTATGTGAGAATCTAACATGCTGCCAAGGACATCAAGTGTCACAGTGAATTCATGAGTTGGATTGCCTAGCCAGATGCCCTTCCAGACAAGGAAATAATGATTATTTGGTAGGTCAGTATATTGCTGAACTTTTGTTACATGTTCAGTGATTTTGCTGAAACAAGTTTTCTTGAGGGCACTTTCTTTTGTTGGCTATTTATTGATGTCCTGTAATTGGCTGTTGAAGCGCAATATCATCTCTGATACCACCACTGGATTTTCTTTGGCATCTTTCCTTGAACCGAGCAGGTCAAGAGCTCAAGCAAAGCAGACAGCTTCGGAGACAGGTATTCTTCCTTCAGGTTGATCATGGAGTGAATATCATAGCCTGAAGGTTTATTTGCTTCATCTCATTGGTCATTGGAGTCCAAATTCTCATGGTCATTTATCACTGTTGGTTGACGACGTCATGTCATCTCATGCATAAATGGATGTATGGCTTGTGATAAGCTGATCACTAGGATTGATATATTGTTAGTGTGGGGAAATGAATTGTGTATCAAGATGATGTTTATTTTTTCTTTTTCAACGCTTCTGTTCCCAATATAATTAGAAGGCAAACCTTTTTGAAATCTACTAAACATGATCCTTGTTTTGACATTTTTTTGTTACGATTGGCCTTCCTCTTCAAATGGTTCACTAGTTACCTGGGGAAGTTTTTTTCCTTTTTTTTTTCCATTTGAAAAGACAAAGGCATCATAGAAAAATTGTAAAATAGTGGTGTTGTTTAACAGGTTTTACTTTCTTTTCTTGATATGAGGAAATGGACTAGAAAAATTCAAGTATTTGCTTCTTTTTTGAACTAGCAACATAGAACTGTTTTTTGTGGCTAATCAATACTCAAGATTGATGTCTTTGCCCAATGACAGGGCAGCTTTTTATTGTCAGATGCTGTGCACTAATTTATTCTTTTTGCCATATGAAGAGTTCTTTCCTCGCAGGTACAGCAGCCTATAATCCTTTTGCTTTATTACCAGCTAATTCATTTTTCTTTAGAAGAAGAAGAAGATGAGATGATGATCCTAGTTATTGCTCTCCTTTCAGCATTTGAAATTCTATCCTTTGTTTAATCTGTTCCAAAGACACTTATTTTTCTGTTGTTCACCAACCCACTTGATATATTACTGCTCTGTGAACTCGAGCAACCAATTAATTTGTTGCTCTTTTATCTTTAGGTTTAATTCTGGCCGGGAAGATGCACCCACCGCCCTCTGCTGATTCCTACAGCTTCGTCTTACCAGCCTCGACTGATCTGGTGACGAATCACATCAGTTTCTAAATGCAACAGAGGCATGAACATGGACCCATTCGGAAGAGCACAACGTCGATCATCCATGCTGCTGCTGCTGGTGGCCGTCATTGAGTGAGTGAGTGAATCTTTTTCTGTCATTGATGTGATATGTATAGTACAATAATTCGAACTAGACCACGAGAGTTTAGAATATCCTTTCCCTTGGATCATTTCTATGGGGAGTGATGCCCTCAACAAGAAGCATGTTCTTATCGGTGACACGGAGTAGCAAATGGTCAGAGTTGGATCGGTGCACCTTTACCTGGGAGGAAAGACCATTGACCTATATTTTCAATTTGATTCCTCAAATACTCAAGTTGGACTAACATTTTGAGATGAAGGATGGAACATGAGCTATTATGGAAATATTTTATTTTTATTATCGTTAATAAAATATTCATTGAGTTATTTTTGATTTGATAAATATTTTCTTCTTTTAGTTGAAGCCGACATTATAAATTTGCATTATCAATTTTGTCATCTTTTATCATGTTGATATTCATAGGATCTCCTATAATGGAAGGTTCCTTATAGATGAAGCATAATGTCTTCGTAAAGATTAATTATTGTTACGGGAAGAAGTTATTAACGTCGCGGTCAGCTTAATGTGGTTTGGACCCATATGTGCAATATTATTTGAGGTGCCTTCGAGATGAAAACATTTTACTCCCGAGGTATCACTTACACGAAGATAAAGGTTGGGAGAGGTATAAGAGTGTGGACACGAGTGGTCAAAAAGAATATTTTTTTTTATTATGTTGAATATAAACTTTTATACCTGAACATAAAGGGATATAATATTCTATGAAATATTATATACTAAGGTAATTTCTAATTGCCCAACAGCTTCCCCTCGACTTCTTATCCTCGCAAGCGATAAGAAGGGATCAATTCATAATCACTTTTACTTAGATCCTTGTCCATGTGGGCAGATGGACGAAAAGTAATCTTCAACTTTTCCTTTCACCTTGGATATCTTGTGGTGATCATGTGTCGAATGATGATTAGCTGACGATATACTTCCTATCATTTGTCCTCCCCCCTCCTTCAATGAGTACTTTAAGCTCTCGTGAGAGGAATTTAAAGCACGTCTAATTCATTTTTCACATTAAGCTATTGTTAAAATATTTTCTAATTATGACTTTGAGACTTTTGACCACTTATCGATACTAAAATGCTCGTTAAGTAATTTTTGATTTGATGAGTATTTTTTTAATTGATGTTGACATGGTAAATTTGCACAACCAATTTTGTTGCCACGTTGATGTCCATGTGTTAAACCCAAAAGATCCCCTATCGCTTTGAACCGAGCATATCTTAGGCATGAATCATCCACATATTGAATGCATAAGGATGTTTTGGCCCACGAGACATCATATCATTCCGTACGATCACATCAGACATTTCGGATAGAAATGTTTTTGTTTAGAATAAATGCATTGCGTGCACAAAGATACTTTTGAAAAACCCTCCAACTTAAAACCTACTATTGCATCAACTCATCCAAAACTGATAAGACTACCTAACGACTGACACTTTTGCTCAACTCATCAAAATCTCCACAAGTTATCTGTAGAGGTCCAAAGCATGATGATAAATGGGAGAAAGCTCGAGCTCAAGAGAAGAAAAGACTTACGGTAATGTTGACTAAGCCTCATTTGCACCCATCGAGTCTGAAAGCAGCCAAGAAAGAAGGACCAGAGTCCAAAACCTTTCTGCAATGGAGATCGCCATCAGCATGCGCCTCTGAGTTGGGTCCCCTCCACACAAGCGTGAGTGGCGTTGGCAATGGAACAGTAAAGCGGGTGTGTCACCGCCCTCCACTACTTGTTCTTGACGAGACCACTGGTGGAGAAGCAGCACAGAGGTAATGATGCTCGTCAGTGCTCTGCATCAAATGGCATTGTCCCAAAGAAAAAATAAGAGAAAATAAAATAAATATATTAATCATATGTTTTATTTTAGTCTGAATATATATATATATATATAAAAGAAGAATAAGATGGTCGGAAAAGTATACACTTAAGTCCACAAACTCTGAATTCATGAGTGGAGTTGTTGATGATGGGACATGGAATCTATTGCAGGAACGATGGTGAAGGGAAGAACCCAAGAGAAATCCATGGGAAACGCACTCCTTGATGCTCCTTTCTTTTCTGTTTTGGATTTGACATGCCAGTCTTGAGGATCGAGGTGGATTAAACATCAAAGCAGAGGTTCTTTCATAGCAATCAAATCACAGCTTGTCATTCTTTTTTGCCTCGGTCTCAGTTGATCTCTGCCAGATTTCTTCCCAAGTTCACATTGTGCCATCTGCCTACCTTAGTCTGAAGCTGAAGCTGAGATGAAGATGGTTGTGAGAATGGGTACCCAATAACAACATCTGATAGAGAATTATTGAGATTGGGTGGTCTAACTTTTGTCATTGAGGACTGCTGCTGAATTCTACCCACCCCATGTTTGGACATGATACTTGAAAGAAAGCATCCACAATAAACAGGGAGACGATGACAACAACAACACATTACACACAATGAGATCATCATCAACTTGTAGCCACTGAACAGTATTGGATTTGAGATCCTGTCAAGAATCCATGGAGTGGACCTTTTGCCGTAGGACTCGATCCTCAACCACGCTTTGCTTCTGTTGGAAGCACCACCATGGGATTTAGTCGGTGTCATTGCGTGAAAGATGAGCATAATGGATCTCTGTTCCCCCATGATTTGACTCTGTTGCTGTTTCATTAAAAGAAGACAGAAGAACTTTGCTTCTGTTGGGGTTTCCGAAGATGAGGACGGAAGGAGGGATGGGATGAAACCCCTCTGTTCTTCCGATTCACCTGCCAGCTTTTCGTATGTCGCCGTCAAATATGGTCAAAAGTCAACGGGTCATCACCATCTTGCGTTGCGAGTGGATCCCTTCCGCTGCCACTCGACCGTCGGTCCCCTCCGTGAGAAGCCCACATCTTTTGACCCCTCACCAATATGAAGTATTTATTAGTTCATCACATGGTTGACCCAATAATTAAGGAAATGAGATGTTTGAAAGATTATTCAGTTATCATATATTTCCGAATTGCATTATGTATTTTTAGATATAAGTTTATTTTGGTATGACTGATCCATTAATGCTTTGACATGGTTCTAACTTGTATCGATGAGACGAAGTGGACGACGACGACAAAAGAAAAAGAATATGCTGATGAGGATGCAAGCGTGCGAGGAAAACAAGACTAAAACGATAATCATCAAACATAATAAAAGAAGATAAGAGAGAAGATGAGATCGATGGTCGACGAGGATAATTTTATTTTTTAGAAAATAATGTTGCTATTCAAGAATAAATAAAAAATTATGTTCTAATTTAAATATATATATATATATATATATATATATATATATATATATATATATATATATATATATATATATATCGATCGGTAGATGTGTCACAGACAAAGTGTTCGTATATATATATATATCGATCTGTAGATGTGTCACAGACAAAGTGTTCGATCAAATGACGACAGTGAGCTCCGCGGCTCTCCAAGTCACGTCTATTTCCGTCCACTTTTGAACAACACAACACGCCAAGCCCCCGTTGGACGAGAGACAAAGAATTTCCTACGCTTGCCATGGAAGCAAAACCCCCTGAAATCATCCCTCCTCACCCTCGGAAACCGCCAGGGCCGACGTCACCTCTCGCCATTCTCCATTGTTCGGACTTCACGTAGCCCCTGAAAGTTATCCAGAGCGAGGTCACCCCGTTCTTCCTCTCTGGTAGTTATTTTATCCAGACAAGTAATAATAATACTAATAATATGCTGCCACTCCAGTATAAGGAGGGCTCTCTCCTTCTGTTGTTCCCCGATCTCTTCTGTGCCCAAGGGTAAAAGGGGCCCCTTTGTGCCTTCTAATGGCTTCCACAGCCAAAGATAAGGAGAAGTCATCTCTATTCTTCTTCTCCTCCTCTTCTATCTCTTCCTTCTACAGGGAGATTAAGCCTTCTTCACTCCTCCCCCGCATCCGCTTCGTCGTCTTCGTCCTCCTCTGCTACGTCCTCTGGCTTCGCCTCCTATTCTTCAGCTTCCCCCTTGACTCCTCCTCCCCCGCGTCGTATTCCGCCGCCGCAGGCCACCGCCACCACCAGCTCAGCCGCTCGCCGGAGACGTGCGATCCCGACATTGCGCCCTTCTACATACACACCATCCATCCCCGCTTCAACGCCGCCCTCGTCCGCCGCTGCCTCTCCCGCCTCGCGTGCTGCGACGTATGCCCCCACGTCGGCCACCTTGGCCTCGGCCGGCCCCTCCTCCGCCTCCCTGACGCCGCCGATGCCGCCGACGCCGTCCCGGGCACCGCGTGGTACGCCACCCACCAGTCCACCGCCGAGATGTTGTTCCACGCCCGCGTCCAGCGCCACCCCTGCCGCACCATGGTCCCGGAGGCGGCGGTCTTGTTCTACGTCCCGTTCTACGCCGGCCTCCACGCCGCCGCCAACTTCCGGCAGGCCAACCACACCCGTCGCGATGCCCTCGCCGTCGACCTCGCCACCCACCTCTCCTCCCTCCCCTCCTTCCGCCGCCGTGCCGGCCGCGACCACTTCCTCGCCGTCGGCCGCGCCTCCTGGGACTTCATGCGCTCCCCCGCCGGCCCGGACTTGGGAGCCAATCGCCTCCTCCTCTTACCGGAGGTCGCCAACATGACGGTACTCACGGTGGAGCGCCACCCATGGGAGGGCCACAACCAGTTCGGCATCCCCTACCCCTCGTACTTCCACCCGCGCACGGCGGCGGATGTGGCAGAGTGGCAGGCGGAGCTCCGCCGGCTGGGCAGGACCCATCTGTTCGCGTTCGTGGGCGGAGTGGGGTCCGACTCGGAGAACGCCGACACCCGGAGCAGCATATTGAACCAATGTAGGATGTCGGACCGGTGCCTTGCGGTCGAATGCAAACCAGATCGGCACAAATGCGACGACCCGGACCTTATCATGGATGTGATGCGCCGGGCCGACTTCTGCCTGCAGCCGCCCGGCGAGTCGTTCACCCGGCGGTCCACCTTCGACTCGGTGCTCGCCGGGTGCATCCCGGTGTTCTTCTCGGAGCACACGGCACACACACAGTACCGGTGGTACCTTCCGAGCCGACTCGGGGACTGGTCGGTCATGTTGGAGCCGAGTCAACGGAATCAGATCGAAGACGAGTTGGCTCAGATTCCACGGGCCGAGGTGGGGAGGATGAGAGAGGTGGTCATCGGGTTGATACCAAGGATGACATACGCCCACCCGGATGCGAACCGGAGCCAACTCGGGTTTCGTGATGCGGTCGACGTCGCGCTGGTTGAGCTCACCCGGCGAGTCCGGTCGATTAGAAATATTGAAACCAATGATCGATGATGATGATAGGTACTTACAAAGAATCCTCTCCTGCATGCATTCATTACTGCATCGATTCAAATGGTTGTAGATGAGCTTGCACTGCTAAGACTGTCAAAGTTACCTGTATAAACTAATGTTAAGTGGATCATATAATAATAAAAATAAATTGAAATATGTTTAATTTGTACAAACAAGTAAGAACAAAAGAAAAAGATTCATATAATCATTGATTTTTATGGTTTTCTTCTTCAAATGTCACATAGCACTAAGAGAAACATGCAACAAGAGAGTGGTGTCCAACCTAGCCACTAAAAATCCCAAGTCTACAAACCGTGGCTTTTGTTGCTTTCCATGGTTCGATTTGGACATCTAAGATGATGAAAGATTAGGTCAAGTTTCATGTGACCAGGGCTATTTGCCGTATAGAAATAAAACACCACAGATCTTAAATTAATTGTCCCGTGTTCCAAACATATGACTCAATTAATGACTCTGATGTGTTCTCCCGTGAGTTCTGACAGATTTGTACGGAATTTTTGGGTTGACTTTTTAATGTGATTAGTATGTGTAAGATAACATTTTCAATTGAAGAAAATAAGATAGTATGGTTTAATTAAATTAAAAATATTTCAAGAACAGCTAACAAAGTTGCACCTTTTCCAGAAGGGCATAATGTCAAAATAGATGATCTTGGCGAATAACTGCATTGCTAAATTGGCCAAGTTGCACAGCACTGTCTCCTCCCTGCAGATTAATTTAATCCATGAATTTGTACTTTCAATAAAAGAGAAGAGAGAGGGAGGGAGAGAGGGGAGAACAAGAAGTAAACCTTTCAAGAATGAGGAACCTTCAATGCCAGTAATCTGCAGACTGTTGAAGCTCGAAACCATGCAGCACACAATCTGTAACAAGTTTACTAGAAGAGTATTAATAGGTACATTCAATGGGATAGATTTAACAACTTGTAGCCAAGTAAATGTTGCTGTTAACCTGACATCCAAGAGATTCCTCCTATGTTGCTCCTTTTCTCTCAGAATAATTCTTCAAACTTGTCATAACACCAAACCTTGTAATATGAACTTGTAAAGCGCAATTGCTTTCTAACTTTGCATACTGATATCCACACAGAAATTGAATGCTTGAAGAATTCTTCAATCTTGTTGAACATCAAACCTTGTGTATGAGTTCTACAAAGCACAAGGGTTTGGTAACTCCATAGAGAAATTGAGTGGCTTCAGCAAATTTTCACCACTACTGTAGGATGTGGATGTGATGAAAAACATTTCGTTCCAATAAAGTGACAATTAGTATTCCTAGAGAAAGCATCAGGAAAATGTGCATCCATTAAAAGCAAGTATATCAAAGAGGTTAATCTGTGATAGTTTCCTCAACATTGTCACCTAGTAATAGAAGGCTCTTCCTGCAGTGATGGGACTGAAATTTTGACTGGGTGGAAAACAAATCATGATATAATGTTCAAAAAAAAAAATTGCTGCAATTTAGAATATGGTATGATCACATTATAGCAAAATGGATAATACTGCAGATTTTGTGTTTCTGACCATTGGAGGCCTTTTAGCCAAGTATCCCTTCGTTAAACATGAATAAGTTTGTTCCATAAGACATGCCTTCAATGAATGTTTTCATTTCTTTCTATGGTAAATCTAGGTACATTTGTTGAAAATATATTATATATTTTCAAACATCTATTAATTGCTTGACAAAGACTGATTAGCACTTGTTATTATAATCTTCAAATGTCCTATAGATTGCGTGAAAGCTATGCCCTCTATCATATTGTGCAGTTGAGGTTCAAAACAATGGCCAAAAGCTGCTGTCGTAACTCAGTCATGTGAATCACTCCTTCATCTTTCACCTACAAAAATCATGGTTACTAAAACTACCACTGCAAGGAGTCAAATTTATCTAGCCAAACACAATTACACACCTCTAAGCAGAAGACTGTCTCCGAAAAACCAGAGAAGGCCACAGAGCTGACGGTAGTCACTTCAGCACCCATTCTGTGCAAGGCTTCCAACAATCTGGTGAATGCGCCCGTAATGTTCTTGTAGATCATCTCAAGGTGGTACTTGGTTTTGCCAATTGGGTTCAATTCAACTTTTCCCTGCGATGATCAGTTAATGAGCAATTGACACAAATACGTGGAACATATCAGATGCAAGGAAAGATGCACCTGCAGTTGGACTGTCTCCAATGGAGCCATGGTCTCTGTGCTTGATGCACTTCCCTGCTTCTCACCATCCTCATCTGGGATCTTGGAGAGCTCGATCTGCAGTTCTAGCACCTGCTGCTGGAGCTGCTTGATGTAGCTTATGGCATCTGTAAGAGTCGATTCTTTGCTCATCTGGAGCACCACTTAACTGTTGTTAGTGATGGTGAAAATTATGCACCATTATCTAAGAACTTTTATCAGACATTTGCTAAGAAAAGCAAAGAAAACTTGACACCAGCAGAAGGATTAGAGCATGAAGCTTCTGAAAAAGGAAAAAAGTTCTTCATCTTATCTAATAACTTTTTTGTCAGACAATCCTAGAAAGTCAATTAGACTTTCTTATCCAGTATAATTGTGCCTGGTTACTTATATCGCAAAGGAGTAATCTTATAATGCATTGTCTAGCGGAATAAATGAATGAAAGATAATCATCTGGCAAGGTCACTGTGACAAGCATTGGATGTTCCCCTAATCATTTAACCCCACATGGATTGATGGTATATGAAACCCTAGATAAAAGGGACTCTTTTCAAAGAGGTAAGTAACCGCAAGTATCAAAACTTGATGACCTATCGATTGTATAACCTTTGTTTTCCATGGAAAAGCACATATCCATTACTCAACGTTGAATCCTAAATGCAAACGGAAGCTAAAGATCAGATAGACTGCAGAGTGATTACCTTTGTGATGTTAGGAACGAGAGCTCTGAGAGCAAGGAGCTTCGCGTTGAGCTTGTTCCTCCTCCTCCGCTCAGCATCCAGGTTCTTCGACTTGTACCTCGTCTCGGCAGGCACCTCCGGCGGCCCCGGCTGGCCGCAGAAGTCATCACCGAGACCATCTAAGACTGCGTCGATGAAGTCCATCGGATCAGCCTCGGGCGCGAGCCCGACGGCAGGATCCCTCGGCCGGCGCGGCGGCATTGGGGGCCCTGAGGATGGTTCGATAACGAGGTCGAGCCATTCTTGTAGCGGAGAAGGTGAGGAATCACATGGGAAGAAGCCGTACGCATTCTTTCCGCTGTTCCATCGTCGATCGAGGAGCGAGCGGGAGAACATTTCTTATCGTCTTCGCTAGGGTTTTGGCGCGGTTGGTGTGCGCTCCTCCGTTTGGGGATTGGAGGACCGCCATTGGAGCTGTCTGGGGGACGGGAGTTTCTTATATGCTTCCGGAGGAGCAGCGGAACGTCATGTTGTTGGCACCCATAACGAACGGGTCGGTGCGGGGTGTGTGCTATTTTGATGGCAAAGCATGGGAAGCCGAGGGGGTAATTACATAATACCCATATACCCATATAGCTAGGATTAGTATTTCAATTCTTATACTTTAAAAATATTATTAAGATTTTTATATTTATAAAAATAAAATATTTACTCTTAATTATCCTCATATCATCAATTTAAATAATAATAATAAATATACAAAAATAATTTCATAAATGGTGGACCAACACCCTGATCTCCTTTAGAACACCACCCTCGAGTGCTGACCTTGTGTCATCTTATTTCCATACCATATCTTACATCACAACAAGCAAAGACCTAACTTAGCATGCCTCTTGTCGATTCCGTTGCCAACCCCATCGATAAAATATACACCACATAGGTGAAGCGTGGCCACCTCCTCCGCCTCTACTTCCCTTATCGCCAACATTAGGGTCCAAGTTGGCAATAGCAAGCATGAGACGGGTGTAGGAGGTGGTGGAATTATACCGGGACTCCAAGAGGGAGTCATGTGTGTGGAGTGCAAGAGGCACTTTCCATCATCTTATCAATCTCCAATGCGCACGACGTATCGATGAGATCGAGAATCACACTGCGCACCTCTTAATCGTAAATCCTATTCTCCTTTCCCCTTGCACGCTGCCGACCTTATGCGCTACTGTCATTACCGGTGATCTACCATCCATAGGGGAAGAAAACATATTTTTTTATAAAATTAATTTTTATTTTTTTTTCATTCATGATGAAATTTGACGATATGAGAAAAATTTGAATTAAATGTTTTACGTTCGTTAAGTATAGGAATCATAATATTACTTTTTAAAGTATTGGGACCGAGATGTTAATCCTAAATAACTATTTAATATTATTTTTACTCTCATTCCAACCGTTAAATTCTTTCTCTAACATGTCATAGGGTTAATTACATATAATTAGTCCTATTTAGTATTTTGATTCAAACACTTTCTTTATACTTACAAAATAAATCACGAAAATCCTTATATAAGATTAAAAAGATAATTTTATTATATTAAAAATTTAAAATAATGATATTAAATATTTCACTTTAGATCATAATCAAGCCTTTAAAAATATAATGACCGAGATATTAAAGATATCATATAAAAACATCATACTTCAATTTATGTTACCCTTTTAGAGCATTAGATGAAATATTTTATTATTTAGCAAAATATAACAAAAAAAATGATAAAAGAATATAATAAAGTATTTTTTGGATTCATGAAATCAGGTAAATTTAAAAACAAAGAATCTGAATATGGAAATACCTTTTTTCGTAAAGAAATAAAATCATGAAAATTAATTTTTGATTAATTTATAAATACCTTAAAGGTTTTGATGAAGGAAGTTATAGAGAAAAAAATATAATCGGTGATATAATTTTATATATGATTGTTCTCCTAGTTTCATTTGATCAATGAATTTTTTAATAATGGTATCTTCTTGGAGACAATGAATATGACCTTTTTGAGGTAAACAATTACATGCATTTTATTTTACATCGATCGTTGATAAAACATGAGTTAGCAAAAATATATGATAAACATGTGAATTTAAAATAAAGTAAAATTAGTTGTTCATGTGGTTGAATTGAATTGAAGAATAAAATAAATAAATTTAAGGCTAATTATATATTATCTCTTATAATTAGTTATTTTTAATATTTTGATCTTATAATTATAAATATTACATTGAGATCCTTATACTTATAAAAGTAAAATATTTAATCTAATTTCTTCTCACGTCATCGACTATGCTGATAGAAATATTGTATATGCTCAATTGTAAATCGAAGTGAGGCAAAATCAATACGTGCTTAATAGTAAACCTTACGATATTTTCACCAGTATAGTTGAAGATACAAGAAAAAACGAGATTAAATGTTTCACTTTTAAAAGTATAAAAATTTTAATATAATTTTTAAAAATACATGAATCAGGATGTTAAAGAGTTAATTATAAGGGATGATTTATAATTAGTTCAGAAATTTATAAAAATATATAAACAATCAAAAATTATTTTTTATTCATTTAATGAACGAGAGGGTTTTATATTTATTGGGCTTCTCGTCGTTGAAGGCCCAATACGGCCCGCATCAAGCGGCCTCTCCACGCTTAGTATAAATAGGCGGATGCTCGATCCACAGCCATATCCTTCGCTCCCGTTTCCTTCACTTTTTGTAGGGTTAGGGTTTTGCGCCGTCCGACCCCGCCGCGAGATCGATTGATTGATGGACCCGTCCTACAAGAAGCGGAAGGCGGACGAGAACGGCGCCCTCGCCACCGCCATCCCGGCGGCCGAATTGACGCCGGAGGATGGCCGTAAAATCATTGACGCATTCTCCCTCGACCAGCTCCGCGACATCGTCGCCGCCGCCGTGTCCCGCGGCGAGCCTGGCGTCCTCGACGACGTCCGCGCTATCGCCGACCGCGACCAGAGCCAGCGCAAGCTCTTCATCCGCGGCCTCGGCATGGAGACCACCACTGACGCCGTTCGCTCCCTCTTCTCTACGTACGGCGAGATTGAGGAGGCCGCTGTTATTGTTGACAGGGCCACCGGGAAGAGCAAGGGTTACGGGTTCATCACCTTCCGCCATATCGACGGTGCCCTCCGTGCCCTAAAAGAGCCATCCAAGAAGATCGATGGCCGGATGACGGTCACCCAGCTTGCTGCTGCCGGTAACTCCGGGTCCGGCGCTGCTCCGTCCGCCGATGTCTCTCTCCGCAAGATCTATGTGGCGAACGTCCCCGCTGACATGCCATCTGACCGACTCCTTGCCCATTTCTCCTCTTACGGTGAGATCGAGGAGGGCCCTCTTGGGTTCGACAAGCAGACGGGGAAATTCCGGGGCTTCGCCCTCTTCGTCTACATGACAGTGGAGGGGGCAAAAAATTCCCTCGTGGATCCCAACAAGAACATCGATGGGCATAACTTGGTCTGCAAGCTTGCAATAGAGGGTAAGAAGGGGAAGCCAGGTGCCCCTGCACCAGGTGCTGCCCCCATGGGCGGTGTCCCCGGCCAGCCCATGGGTGGTGGTGCCGATATGGGTCCAGATGGGCTTGGATTGGGTGCACAGTCCTCATTACCAAGTTCTCTCTCTAGCCAGTATGGTGGTCCAGGTAGCGGTCTCGGTTCATATGGTGGTTACTCTGGAAGTGCGCTGCCGGGTGCTGCTGGACTGAGTCACCATCATAATATGAACTCTTCCTTGCCATCATCCATGGGTCCTGGCACTCCAGGTCTGTCATCGGTTGGCAGTCAGGTGCCTTCATCGCTTGGTGGTGCTGTAGCTGGAGGATATGGAGGGGGTTTGGGTGGCCCTCTTGGGTCTTCTCAGTATGGTGGCCCTGGCTCCGGTGGATACGGAGGTTATGGCATGGGCTCATCACTTTATCGTATGCCTCCAAGCTCAGTTGGGATGCCTTCAGGTGGTTATCCGGAGGGTGGACATTATCCTCTGTCATCATCAGCATACCAGGGCCAGCATCACCAGCCAGCAGGATCCTCTCCTGGGCAGAGGGTTCCAGGTGGAGGGTTATATCCTAATGTGCCACCTTATTACTAAGGTAATATATTTGCTTCAAAAATGGCCTTTGTGTTTTCCTGTTTTAGATTTCAGTTTATGTTTTATCAGCTTTTGTTATTTTTCTTGGCATTATTTCCTTTGATATTTACCATTGCTGTTATTAGCGTTAGGTCATGGTTTCTTAGTGTGTGGTCTCTATATCCTATAAAGTCGAATATGTTGTATTTAGATATATTGGTCAATATTATTATGCTAACAGGTCATTATGGTCCACTATGGTCAATATTAGAGCATCTTTAATGGCCCTTTAGAATGGGTTTGTAAATTACAGGCTCAAATGATCGATCACTAAGTTCATAATATCAATATGCTTAGGTCACCAAAGAATCCGGCAATGGAATGTTTGGAGGTATCTGTGTTGATGCAAAACTGGTTGAGGATTTTGGACTGCTTCTAGTTGGAGATAGTTTATGATTAGTCTCACTTAAATTTTAAAGGACTGTAGACTAAATTTCAGTTGGAAGGCTGTGTTATCCCTTATTTGTGATGAAATGAACGACAGACTTTTGATAATTTAGACTTGAACATCTTGGGTCATACTGTTACTGTTTTTTCTACACAATTTATTTTATGAGTAGGTGACTACAGTTATATGTCGGATGCGTGATTATTTGCCATTGTCCCTTTAATGGTTATGTGATATTGTTCGATCACAGGTTTGGTCTGATTGAATCATGGCTTATATTATTTTTTGTTCCATTTCTTGATTTTTGTGTCAAAAAGTTTGTCTTATTTTGCTAAGATAATTAAACCATAGATTCTGTTAAGCATTCTGTATGGTCCCAGGAAGTAACATTCTTTTGCTGGTTTTTATTTCATTTAATGTTGATAACATCTTCGGTAATATGCCTGTGGTTTTTGATATATTGTTAGAAACTAGGTTCTTTTTCAACATGAAGATTCTTCATGATTTCATACATCTTTTAACAAATATAATTAGTAAACTTCTATCACTTACGGAAAATTTATCAGTGTCAATGGTTTGTTAGTTGTTTTTGGCTTAAGAGCATTGTAGTAGGGATTCGATGGGTTCTGCTTGTTCTGACTTAGCTTTTAATCTTGATTTTTTTGTAATTTCTTTGTTGATCAATGTATTCTCCTGTTATAAAAGTAAATATTGTCTTGTCCATCAAGTGAGATATTAGTCTAAATTTAATTGTGTTAATTGTGATCCTTTGGTATTTGTTGGCCTCATATAACTTTATCCTTTTGTTTTTATGTTCATGTGCTGGTTATCTTTTTCTCTGTGTTGTCGCTGTCACCTGCATTTCTTATTTTCCATTTAAT